TACTCCAGGTCACCAGTTAGCGTAGATTGCATTCTGGTCACTTTAGGTTAGAAGCAAGATTGCACTGATCACTAGTTGAAGCAGATTGTACCTCGGGGTCACTTAATTGTACAGATTGTACCTGGGGTCACTAATTAGAAGCGATTGTAATTGGGTCACTAATTAGAAGCAGATTGTATCTGGGTCACTTAATTAGAAGCAGATTAAAATTGGGTCACCTAATTAGAAGCAGATTGTAACTGGGGTCACTAATTGTAGCGTGATTGTAATTGGGTCACCAATTGTAAAGCAGATTGCACCTGGGGTCACTAATTGTAGCATACTGCACTGGGGTCACCAATTGTAGCGCATTGCATCCGGGTCACCAATTGTAATTCCAGGGCCAGCGCACTGCATCCGGTCACCAGTTGTAGCACTGCACCGGGTCACTAATCATTGTATCACTAATTGTAAAGGCAAGATTAAAATTCGGGGTCGATTCCAATTGTAGCGTACTGTACTCCGGGGGTCACCAATTGTAGCGTACTGTACTCCGGGGGTCACCAATTGTAGCGTACTGTATGTGGCCAGTTGTCAAGTTTCTCTTTGTTTGTCTAGTTTGTCTTTGATAGGCTCACATACATACTTACATGTAGATCTCGCACTAAGGATAGAGGTAAGAAGGGACACTCACAACGCGTTTTCTGTCTATATATTGTATGTACAGTGCAGTGCTAGGGAGTTGCTGTGTGGTGAGGAGCTTGCTGAGAGGTCTTGTTGGTTTGAGAGAGTTGGGTAGCGTGATGTCCATGGCCAGGCTAAGGTGTATTTATACAGTTCTTTAGGATCAGAGAGACGAGGTGCGAAATGAGCGGTGCCAATCACCGCGCAGTTGGCGAGTGAGGCCTGGTCTGTGGAACTCGCTGCTGATTGGCTGGTATCGGACGGCAAGTGATCGGTCAGCAGTTGTACACGTCTGTCTGCAAGTGAGGGCTGGTCTGTGGAACTCGCCGCTGATTGGCTGGTAAGCGAACGGCAAGTGATTAGTCAGCAGTTGTAGGGGAGAGTATCCACTACACCCTTCCTGAGCCTCTACTCTAACTGATTTTTTGCCCAAATGAAGGAAATATAGCATCTGGTTTTTTTTTTTTTTTTTCTTGTTCGGATAAATTTGATATGAAAATATCAAGTTGAAATTTATCTTCATACAGTACTGTATCTTACTTTGTTCATGGGAAGTGCAACCATCTTAGAATTATCTTCATACAATCTCTTAACAAGAGAGTTATGTAGCTGCTTCAGTTCAGCAAACACTTTGGAAAGCTCTGCATCAGTAGCTTGAAATGATGCATTAACGGATTAAAAATCCTGAATGATTGGTAAATCAGATGGCGAGTGCAAGTAACTGCTCTCATCACTAATCATTTCATGAATTATACAGTATATGCAAGAATGATAGTTCTTTTCTTTCTCTGCAATTACTTTAAAGTAAGTTTTCAGTTCATACCATTGTGTTAGAATATTAAAAATACATTTACCTTTAACTAGCCATCTTGTGTTGTTAGGGGTGAGGAATTTTGTAAGTTGGATGCAGTCACCATTCATTACAGAAAAAAATATGTCCTTAAACTGTTCCCTCCTAAGAGAGCTAAGGTTGAACCAGCATGCAATCTCCGAAATTAAAACTTCCAAATTTGAGGGGAGTTTCTTGTTGGCATATACACAGCTCAGAGCAAGGCTATGGCATGTGCATTTAACAAATGTTATCTTGGGAACTTTCTCTCGTAATCTAGACAACACTGAATTATTTGTTTCACATATACATTGTTGACACCATCGCTAGAAATTTCTATGCACTTGCAAATGTCAACATCAATTTCTCTCAAGTAATCCATTATGGCATCATATAAAGCAGCTCCCATGGTTGAAGTTACCAGGATCAATGCCAGAAATTCAGTTTTAATACATGAATGTCTTTCACTAAAAAACAAACACATAAACAAAGCCTGTGTGTGTGTGTGTAGGTTTGTGTATGCAGATTCTGACCAGGATAAGGCGGAGGCATTGAGCAAATTTTTTTCCTCTGTGTTCACAAGAGAGGATGCGAACAATCGTCCTGCGTTTGAGGAAAGACTGTTTGACACAGAGCTGACCCACATTGTGTCCTCGGACGAGGTTATAATAAATAAACTGTCAAAGCTAAAGATTTACAAGTGTCCCGGCCTAGATATGGTGCACCCCAGAGTGTTAAGTGAACTGTGATAAGATCCTGTTCTGCAAATACCTGGAGGAGCAAAAGGTCCCCGACGACTGGAAGATGGCTTATGAAAGTCCTATATTCATGAAGGGCAATCGTCACTCCATGAATAATTTTAGACCAGTGAGCCTGACCAATACAGTGTGCAAAGGACTAAAGAGCATTGTAAGAGATGCCACGATGGAACATCTGCTACGAAACAACCTCGTAAAGGAATGCCAACACGGTTTTATGCCGGAAAGATCCTGCTTAACACAATTACTCAAGGTACTAGCGTGGGCCAGAGACTTAATGCATGACCGCTAACAGTCCACGGTGATAAATGGTACGAAATCGTCATGTGTGCCTTCTGACTAGCGGGGTACCACAGGGCAGTGTATTGGGCCCATTGTTGTTGTCTGTTTCACTAATGACATGCCAGAAGCTATACACTCCTCCATACAAATGTTTGCGGATGATGCCTAGTTATTTAGGGAAATTAAAAATCAAACACTGAAGAGGTGCAGAAAGATCTCTATGAGCTTCAAGAATGGTCGAGGAAATGGCTGCTAATATTCAATGTCACGAAGTGCAAAACGATGCACCTGGGTCGCACCAATAGTAAGGTGGCGTATCACATGTCCAATAGGACAAAGAGACTGCATTAATTGAGACCAAATGTGAAAAGGACCTGGATGTGTATGTGGACAATGAACTTAAGTTCCCGGGCCATTGTAAGAAGAAAGTGAATTAGGCAACAAAACTAGTAGGTCTTATAAGAAGGTCGTTTAGATATCTGGATGGTCCATCACTCGTCAAGACCTTCAAGAGAGTCTGGAGTATTGTCACCCCGTCTGGTCCCCAAGGTATGCTAGAGAATGTCAATTGATTGAAAATGTCCAAAGGAGGACCACCAGACTGGTGCCTGCTCTACAGAACCTCAGTTACCCAGTGATTGGAGCCCCTGCAACTACTGGGCATATACTACGGATGGGTGAGGGGTGACCCAATTGAAGTGTATAAACATCTCAGGGGACACTGTTTGGTCGAATGTACATACCTGAAGCTGGCGGACGTCTGCCTCACAAGGGGTCACAGCTCAAGGCTGAAGAAACCCCAAGTCCAGAAAACTGCGAGGGCAATTTTGGGGGGAGTGAGAATTGTGAACTCTTGGAACAATCTGCCCGAGTGCGAGCTCATTCAAGGCCAGACTTGACCAACACTGGTGCAGGTTCCGACATAGAAGCCAGTGCATGCCCAGTATCTGCCAACAGTGTATATCAGACGTGACCGACCACCCAAGCGGCTTACGTGCCGATCAGTGGCGAAGACGATAAAAATAAAAGTAAAGTAATGGAATTAATTTCGTCGCAACCCATTTTGTCAGAACAGAACTGTCCTATATCACATTAACTGTTTAATTTTCTGAACTACAGTACACTAGTCAGTTTAGTGATGTGTGGAGGCTCCACCATCTCTGTGAGGAGCCCAGTGAAATAATGCTGTGAACTAGTCAGTCAAGTTGCCAGTAACCAATTTGTCAATGTTTACATTATCACAAATCACCACACAAGTTGAAGCCAGACTTAGTTAGACTTCACTAAGTGGGAAGTCACTTGTCATTTACAGCTATAACTGTAAATATATACCTTATATGTTGGCGTAAAAGGTCACAGGGTGTATAAGATGACCCCCAAAATTTTCATTTAAAATGTAGGTTTTGAGCTATACTCGCTGTATAAGACTACCGCAAATCTGACACTAACCACTGAGAGCTTACTGCCACAGTAATCCTTTACCGACCATCCCACTGACCAGTGGAGTGATGCTGTTAAACACACTGCTAAGCAACACAGCCTTGGTTATTTAAAATAAGGCCAATTCACTTCAAGTAATAGCAAAATATTGTCAACTACCTACCATAATCTGCATCAAACGTTACCAGCTGGTGTAGTGTAAACACTAGGGACTTCACTACGACTTCATTTATTTTACTGGAACTAATGTTGGTGTCGAGTAAAATTTTACCATTTACTTGAAATGGATTTACTGATTTATTTATTATATACTGTAATATATTAGAAATTTAGGCATAAAATACACTGCAGGTATTTTCTTTAATTTATAAACTTGCTTCGCGAGACGATCAGTAGGACTGGCTGTTTGTTTACTTTGGTGGCAGTTGCAAATGGCGGGGGTGCGTGGTGATAGCTGCGTTTATTATGTTGATATTTTACTGTATTTATGGTATGTTAGACAGGTTTATAATACATTTATATTATTTTAATATTCCGGTAATCTTATTTTTAATCCAGCTTTCCAAACTTAAGTTTCAGTAAAAAATAATTACCAGTAGTGGTAGGACTGTGGGATTAAGGCGAGTGTTTTACGATGTTCTCCATCACCACTAGTGACACACTAAACCACAGGATGTAGAGGTTCGGAGTTTATACCCAGCGTTTAAGACAACCCCTAATTTTGGGCTGATTATTTTAAGGTTCAAATTCCGTTTTATACGCCGATTGGTTGACTGGCCATTTGGGCAATCGATCATTTCTCTGCTATATTGTACACTGTTGGCAAGTGCTGGGCATCTATGGGACTCAAGAATGTACAGTACTAGGACATGTAAAGGTGTTGGTCAAGTCACAGCACTGGCAGGTTATTCCAGCAGTTCATAACTAATTCTAAAGAAGTTTGCCGACAAATTTTCTGCACTTGTGGCTTCATTATTCTGGAGTACTGTTTCCATTAAAACATGAAACTGGATGACACAAAACATAGATAATGCACATATTTTTATTTACAATAAATGACTTTGTTTCAGTTATATACATGTACGTGCATTATTAAGCACAGAAATATCCACAGTTAAGAACATAATCTGTAAGCACTTTGGTCAAGAGCACTTTTATTAAAGCTTGAAATTATTGAACTTTAAGAAATGTCAAAGAAAATATAGACTCACAGGACTTCTATCCACAAACAAGAAATAAACAGTTTAAACAAGTGAAGAGATCAACACTGGAGACTTAAACAAGAACAACAAAAACTGCCAACACTCTCAAAGGCACCACCATAAACCTCACTTCTTACTGTTATAATCAAAGAAAAAATTATATAAATCTACACAATATCCATCTCTATTGAGCAAGTGTGTGTGAAATTTTAATTCTTTGTTATTTTAAATGTTTTCATGCCTGCAGACACCTGACATATTACCAAAAGTAATATTTGTTGAGGCAGCAAATTACTCGAGATTTAATATACACTTTATGTGAAATGTTTTATGACCTTACATTACTAAACAAAAATTGTAACAATGCAAAAATATTTCCTGTCTTCAAACACAACTTACAACAGATAATATTATATTTTTTGTTGTCATAAAGAAACAATACTGGAGTACTGTATATCCCTTAACAAAATATTTTCATACAATCTTCTATTGAAATAAGATGTTTCTAACTCTATTTAGACACTTTGCTTGTACTGTATCTGGGGACAACTCGTCACTCTACCATCATGCTTTGAAGGATTCACAGTTGTGTTAATATCAAGCACAAAATATAACACCCACATTAATAGAACCTTTTACTATAATACTGTTGGTGCTCAGTTATAGCCTCTTCACTCTAGCAGGCTGGGGGAGTGAGGCTACAGAGCTAACAAGCACAAATATATACTACAGTAGAGTCAGTTCAGTACAGCCATAGGTGAAGACTTCAGAAACACGGTATAAGGTAAGATCCTAATTGTGTATTGACCTAACAATAATTTACTTCGCTAACAAATATACTTGTAATGTATATTTAAACAAATCGTAAAATCAATTTATTCAAGAGTAGGTAAAATTTTATCTCATCGGAGGCAACAAGAAACAGCTGTAGATCCCTGGAATACTTTGGTTTCCCAGGATATTTTATAATTAAGTGTTTGTGTAGTCCTCACTTACAGAAGTACAAAGGTCTACTACATATCAGAGCTCGTAGGTTGTCTGTACCCTTACTTCCTTTGCACTAGAGTAAAAAGGGTGGCAGTGGGCATCAAAACCTTTGTGACAGAACTCTCTAATCTGTCTACGTGGGATAATTTACAATACTGTACTTCATGTGGGGAAATAACTACAAAATACTCTTGTACAGTTAGATCTACAGAAGGAACACCACGTCATTCATATCACAGGATGACTTTACGACTTTGTGACTAAACAGGCACTGGGTAGCTGTATGCATTACCAATATTTGATAAAAAGAGTCCACTGAAAAAAATGATCAAAGCTTCATTGGAAAAACTAACTATGCTTATTCTGTATTCTGTAGTAAAATATATGAGGTATTCCCTATAAAATCTTGAGGAAAACTAATTAAAATCTTCAGTTACATTACTTCTGACAACATGAAGACACAAAAAATAATCAGCATCCATCTTTGACTGAACAACAAGACTCCATTCAGGTGACTATAATCATTTTTCCTCTGGACTCTTCACTTTATTACGACTTAGTGCAATTTCCTCTCAAATTAAACAAGCAATACTGTATACAATTATATACAAGAAGGGATTTGACTTATATTCTCTTGACATTAACTTTAGCTAAGAAAATTCCTTAAAACACGCGTGGCTGTATCTGGCATGTACTGTACTATAGGAGCTGTAGGTAATGGGGACTGGGATATCACCTCACATTTTACTTTCTATTAGATTATTTTTTTTCTAATTAATTTACAGATAGCGGCAGTTTTTACCAATTGTAAGCTTGATACACGAGGGGATGCCAGATGTTGTTGTGTGTTTAAGGAATTTTGGCAGCACCTGTACACCATTCTAATGCACCACTAAATTAAATTACATTTTCATTCGGGTGGGAAGAATAATTAACATAAAACACAATTATTTGGAATTTTCATGCAATAATCTCAGTCACATAACACAATAACTACACATGGTTGGTTCCATTTAACTTTGTTTTGGTGATTGTTAAGTTATAAAATTAAATGCCATAGAGGAAAGAATGTAAGACATCATAAATCTATACATAAAAGAAATTATCTTTGAATAAAATATTACAGGAAAATACAACTTAAAATACAGTAATGAATTGGCAACAATTTCCTTAAGTAAAGCTGTACAAACAAATATGTACAATTTTTAATAAGTAGTTAAACAATCACCATGTCTAGTGTCAGTGTACTAGCTGAGACAACAGTCAGTGTTGCACCAAGACATAAGACAAATATCAGCACAGTTTGTGACACTCCATACCTCATTTATACACAGTAATCAAATCTTGGCACAAATGTTAACCTTCAATGAAGATTTTCTTTTTGCATATGAACATGACAGTTCAACTTGCTTTAAAATTAACCACATTTCTCCTACAAATGCTCAAATTTGTAAAATACAAATTAATGAAAAAAAATATATATAATCAAAATATTTGGGTCAAATTATGTACAGTTCTCACACTATTATCAATGGTTCACTCAACCTGGAGTCAGGCTGACCATAATGTACTGTTACCACCATACACTTACCTGTGATCATGACAGGTGATGACTGAGGTGTGGCAGTGTTGACCCTCATAGCTCCTCCTCCCCTCTCACCACCACAAGCAGGGATTATAGTCTTCTAGAAGTTAATCTTCACATTGATTTGTGGTGAGCACAGACACTGTTTGTGTATGTTCTGGTCTTTAGTATTAAAATAATATTGTGTTTCTTGGCACACAAAGTGGGAGGCCAGTCAATAGTGAGAGGCATCAGTGACTGAACCCCTCAGTCACAGGCAGGGTACACTTAGTTAACCATTAAATAAGGTTATTATTGGTGATCACACGTGACCCTCAGTCACAGATAACCAAGTGAGTACTGTACTGTACAGTATAATGACAAGTTACCACACACACTTCTGGATGTTTTTTTTTGTTTCCTAAAACAATACACATTATAACTAAAAGAACAATGTATCAAAAACCTTCCAACAATTTAAATTGAAAATATAAAAATTAATTAATGTATTTCTTGATTACTCTTTGAAGCAAAAATTTTCAGCTTATGTGTACACTTTGGTATACACAGCAGTCACTCTGTATTTTTAAAATAAAAATTTTCTCACAAAAACTGAGATATACTCAATTATAGTAATATATACAAGGCACTTCTTTTACAAAGTTTGTTGAAGAAATTCATTCTGAACACCAGATTTAGAACAGAAATTCCTTCATCAGTATCAGTTGTGTCCAATTATCCCCATCATGAATGCATAATATTCTCACACAGCATAGGCATGTCCATTCTCTTCAGCACCATGACTGACTGGGGTTGTGATCAAGGTCAACGGTAGACGCCGACGTCATCCCACTCACGGCAGAAAGTGCTGATACGCCACTCAGACGGTGATTTTCCAGTTCATTTATTATATCACAGTCTCTCTTATGTCTTAAATTCACTCCATTAATCTTTTCAAAATCTCTGGGACTTGAGGTATCACTTTCTTGTTTAAATTCAACTCCGGCCGACATGTTCACATACGAGTTATCCAACACTGGATTGCAGTTGGAGTTTGTTTCATTGTCTTGGTCCTCACTATCATAGGAACCTGGCTGTGGAGATGGTCCTGGGAACACCCTATTGCTTGATGGTTTGAGGTAGTGTTGTGGGGACATTATACTTGGAATAGTGGGAAGTGGAAAGGTGAAGGTGACACTTGTAGGCGAGTCTGGGGTGGGAGATGCGAGACTTGGACTGAGTGGGGTGGATGGGATGGAGACCTGAGCTGTTGTTATGAGGTTTGTCGGAGATTGAGGAATATCTGATGTTGAATTATGTGAAGAAAACCTTGGCCAATCTGATGAAGCCTCGCCCCCTAGTGGCAGACTGGCTGGAGGTGATCTTGGGGACACTGGTGGCGATAACGGTGAGGGTTCATTGACTAGCTGGAGGTATTGTTGGTGGCGCCTTAGAGGAGCCGTCAGAGGCAGTGTACTCGCTCCAGAGAATGAGTCGCACTCCTCCACTTCAACTCCGTTGTCTCCATCTTCTTCCTGGCTGCCACTTCTCCCCCCAAGGTTTACAACACTACCACTTGTTTGGGCTGACCACGAGTTAGTTGGTGAACAATCATTACCACTGACTAATGAATTTCCTGTTAAAAAAAAAGTATACGATTAGCTTAACTTTCATTTGATCAATGAATAAGTCATAACAATTGGACTGATAAATAGCTATTATTCTAATCTGTTACAATAGATTGGAATACTAGCTCTATGATTTATAAGTCCAATTATACCTTCAGTATAAAAATTATTGAATCTTCATTTATTACTTCTACACCTAACTTCAACTTGACAGGTAGTCAGTTGACCCTTGACCTGATCCTGAATACTGTCATCAAGAAGATTATCCCTAATTCACACCCTTCCTCAACTCAGGAGACAGGTTCCATGTTCTATGTCTCTCTCCCTTGCTTTGTTCTGTTAGTTGGCTGAAGAGGGTCCTAGTACACCAGCTCCAAGATTCCATCTTTAATTCTCCAAAGTTTTTATTTTATTTATATATTTTATTTTTACCAGTGCGACTATTATGCTTTCAGGATATCATCTACATATTATCAGCTCACCTCACAATGTAAATGATACATTTATTTATTGTAAAATGTATTATTTACTTTATTATTACTGTATATGTATATTTTAAAAATATTTGTTTGCACAGTAATTATAAATAGAATATTTTATGTAGCAGCCAAGGCATGGTATTTGAGTATGTTTTTTGGTTGTAATAATGAGGAACGATCTATGTAATGATCCGAATAAGGTATAAAAACTAAACAGAAAATGAACGAATAATCTAGCACACAAAAATTGGAATTTGTCAAATAATGTCAAAACATTCCAAACTTGGTTAATTCGGATTTCTTGGTAATTCGGGTGACCCAGAGCCCACTTTTTGTCAAATTAACGAGGGTACAGTATAGTATGCAACACTACACCACAGGAACTTCTTCCGTCAAAGAAAAGATGCCAAAATAAGTTGTTGTCTGCAGCAAGTTGTCCTTATAGAGTTAAATGATTCTCTGGTCAGGTGACAAGATTATCATTGAGAGAAGAAGGCAAGATATTGTGGTCCTTGTTGTCAAGGGCCATAACACAGATAAAATAATATCTGAAATCTACAAAAGGCATTAAATGAGATGGTGTGAATGCAATCCATTTTTTAAAATCATGTTGAGTTAAAAACATTAAACTGGAGTCAACATCCTTAAACTAACAATCACTCAAAAGAGGACATACTCCTACCTGAGTTATTGTTGTGGTTCTCGTCGTGCTCTGCAGCATAGGCCAGGTTAACAAGACCATAGTCATCTAAAATATCAAACACACACAAGAGGTGACAACACAGGCTTTACCATTCTGTTAAATATCATTAACTTCCTCACTTTTTATCCATTATGGAAATTCTTGTAGCATTTATTCAAGTAGTTCTATAACTTTATTGGTGACAGGACACAGAAATAAAAAATGAGGAATTCATTAGCAGTTAAGAGGAGCGAGACACAAATCATGAAGCCGATGCACAATATACTGTACAGACTCAGAAATCCAGCACTGGTGGGGCTGAGAGTATGGTTACTGTGTTTGTAAGTCAAGAAATAAATTATAATTAAAAATTTTGGTATACAGTTGTTAGGCAGAATTCCCATACAAAAGACCACACGCTGTATTCATCATTACTCACAAAAATCATTCACTTTGCTTAAACCCTTCACTACAGGGATGCCACTTTCAATATGGTATTTTATTTGGCTAAAGCAAAACGATTTTATTGAGCTCAGATAGTCATAACTGCAGGTGCCAGGGCCCTGTAATGGTGACCACAAACCATTTACTATGACAGACAAAACAACCACACAAACCTATCTTAATAATCTTATATTATTTTTTAGTTTGGTTTAGTTCATGTTTGCAGAATTCACTTACTTTGTTTACAGACATTGAAATTTTTTCAGTTATTACAATTTCTCCTTATTTTTTTACATTTTCATGTTTTTTTATACATTGTTCTGGCATACTGAATCAATTTTACAAAGCACTACTGAATATTACGTTTGATTTTGGGATGGACATTCTGTATAATAGCTCTGCACCACAAAGGTAATGTTGATCACTTCAGATAGTAGCCTGGCCAGCTAAGAAAACACACTAAGCAAGACCTACATATAATGCCCAGTTCCCACTGTCTGGAAGTGTTGAGAATTGTGTTAATGTGAGGTGGTGTGGTGGCTGACACTACTAGATATACAAGAATTTGACAATTGTAAAACTTCAAAGTCTGATGTTTGTGGCCAAAAATCAGCTTTAGTCATAACAGAACTAATGCAACAAAGCACAAATACCAAACTGGTTTTAAAGACAACAAACAACTGACACCAAATTAATTGTTTTTTGGCCTGGAGATGATAATTTGTTTTAATTTTTGTTTGTACTATTCTGAGAAAGACACTGTTAGCCATTCTTGCTACTCTGTATTTTATTCATTATATGTGAATTTACTGATAATGTAATATTTATCACCACTTGAACCATTCTTAATCTTTATTCTCACCGTGAACTTTTTTCTTTTGTGACAGGGCCGACTGGCCATGTAGAACTGATTTTGTTCCATTTAATTTTTAATATTCCCCAAAGTGCTGGATTTCAGAGACTTGCAATTCTGAAGTTCTACTGTATATCACTGAAACATATTAGCACTGTACAAAGAACTAGCAAACTGTGATAAGTATTAAAGCTCAGTGTTATACCATGCAAAAAATCAAGTCATATAAATTTTGGGCAATAATGTAAAAGCAGATCATAGATAATAGTACATTACATTCAGGAACACAGCATTGTAATGTATTTTGAATTTTTGTTTATAGAGAACAATGACAGGCACACATAAAACTTGTAAAAATTAATAACAAAATGCAGTAATCATTATTCACTGTAAGAAGACTTCTTTTGTATAATGCACAAGATAATGTTAATGAAACAAACTTCAGCTCTGATTAGTTGTCAGTTTTAAGCTCAGATTAAACTTAAGTGCAGTAAATCAAACCAAAAGAGTGTTCAGTCAACCAACAACATGAACAAGTGGTGAGTACATACCATTTGAACCAATGTAGTGAACATTGTGAACTGCCAGTGCTGGTAGGGCTGATATAGTCTCCTCCAGCATCAATAGTGCATTGAGACACTCCTTAAATGTTGGTCTGTTCTCTGGGCTGTAGCTCCAGCAACGCTCCATCAACTTGTGACTGTTGACACACATATGTATTATTTCTTATTTTGCCAATACTGTACACAGTATACTGTACCTGCATTGTCCATATATGAACATACTGAACTGTATACCTATATTGTCTACATACGTACAGGCCTTCCCCGATTTATGAAGGGCTTCTGTTCCCAAAAACCTTTCATAAATCTGATCACTTTTTCCAATAGACAACCATTTTTAATTAAAGCTAAGATACATTCCCACAAAAAATATACTGTATATAGTGTACAGTACTGTACTGCATATACTTCCCAAAAATATTTTAAAATGCCACAAAACATGATAATGAAAATTTTTGGTGTACACAATGTTTATAACCCAATGGTAAACATAGTAAGAGAATTATACATGCAGTACAAAACAGTAATAACTTTATACCTGTACTTATAAAAATCGAGATAAAATTTAAACAAATTGAGCAGTATGAAATCCTAAGCAAACATCTATAATAAATATATCACTTTTGTAATACACTAAGGTCCAGTCTATAACTAAAGATAAAAATATCCCACGCTCCATCTCTGATGGGTTATTGCATCATCCTAAATTTCCGTTGCTTTTGCATGGTACACACGCTACCATCAGTCAGCCGAGAGTAAATGAAGAGAAATTGTGCAATCGGACAACTTGATCGAGTGACTGTGCTGGTGGAGACAAACATTGGTGTTTCCTGTGTGTCCATCAGCCTTACACCTCGTGTTTCCTGAACCTTGTTAAATATTATATGAATTTAAATGACAGCTAAAGTTCTTCATCATAAATTAAAGATAATAGTTTGGATGTTGAAGGAGAGTGATTAAAAAATATATATTATTCATCACCATTTTCGGCCAGTTTCAACACTTGCGTGGGCTAGTCAAGATTACCTGATGGCATGGTGACCCAACTGCCATCTGGTAATAACTTCAGTCCTCAGTAACAAGTATGTACAGTACAAAAAAAAACAATAGTCCAGTATTCTGTATATTATATATCAACTACACTGGTACTGTTTCCTTATCCTAAAACAGCTTGACACACACATCTTGATCATACCTTCACAAAAAGAACATTTTACTTGTCTATGAAGCTGAATGAAAAACTTACAGTTCCTCTGGGCAATTAGTTGGACGAGTAAGGCGGCCGCCACTCCTGACGTAGTGAAGCACCTCGAGGTTGCTACGTGCAGGGTAAGGCTCCTGGCCGAGGGTGAGGATCTCCCACAGCAATACTCCAAACGCCCAAACATCAGAGTGGCTCGTAAATACTCCATCAACCAGAGATTCTGGAGACATCCACCGCACTGGTAACAGCCCCTCACCCTGTAAATATTTTAAAATAATTTATTTTACAATGTCTGTTTTTCTACAGCTATTATTCAATGTCCATATCATAATTACAGGAGGCAGTAATTTCATGAGAAGAATTTAATAAGATTACAAGAACAATTTAGAGATTGTTAATACAGGGTATATGGCAAAATAGTTGTATATACAAAGTACTGTATACACAAATACTGTATGTAATTATCTCTATACTATACTCATAAATAAACATCATATACATACTGTACTTACTATTCTCACACACTCACACAAAACATTACACATACACATGTACACACATACATCAGTCAGAGATGTATTCTAGTACTGTACCTCTTTCCTGTAGTAATCATTTTTGTATATATCTCGAGCAAGCCCAAAATCTCCAATCTTCACAATGCGTGATGCTGGGTCAGTTGTAGACACGAGGCAGTTCCGAGCAGCCAAATCACGGTGAACGTAGTGCATTTCCTCCAGATAAACGCATCCCTTAGCTACGTCTAAACACATGGCCACAAAGTCAGCTAACGTCAGACCACACTCAGCCTAAGGTGAAAGGAGGAATATTCTCTATGTACAGAAAACAAGAAAAACTGACCCTAATACATACTGCACAACACTGACCATAGGAACACTGGAATGAATGTGTAAGAATCTTCAAACTGTTTTAAATACATAATGAAACTGCAAGATCTATATGGGAAACTAACATATAACTTTATATATAGTTTACAGGGAAATATCAGAGAGATTTAACAAGTTTCTACAAAAAATAACTGAATGAGTCTTAAGTATAAAATTCAAGCTTGTTTGAAAAAATATTGCCATTCAAACACCAAGTGGCAGATGGTCACTAATACCAGAAATGAATTGGGTTCAAGAAAGTTTTATTACACAACAAAACACTAACCCCTCGACTTTTACGAAGATAGGAGAGAAGGTCACCACCTTCCATCAACTCCAGGATAAGGAAGAAAGGATCGTGATCTGTACACACGGCCAGGAGGCGCAGGATGTGTTCATGCTGGAAGTGACTCATTAATTGAGCTTCCTTCAGGAACTCTGCTTTCTCTGCCTCTGTTGCTCCCTTACGCAGGGTCTGAGGAGGAGGAGGTCTCTCATTATCAGTGGAATTATGAAGAGAAAGCAAAGTTAACACTCATAAATTTAACAAGTGAATAAAGCAAAAAGTTTTTCACCAAATGAAATTATCAATCATTACAGTACTTAGTTGGTATTTCACCTCAGTCTTTAAAAATTTTCTGTCCTAGTTTCATTAAAAAGATGAAGGTTGTATATTAGCCAACACATGGATATACAAACCTTAATTGCCACCTTAGTGACCTCAGGTAGGCCAGGCAGCTCACAAGCCGTCCCCTCAAACACTTCACCAAAGGCTCCACTGCCCAGGAACTTGGTGAGAGTGATACAATGCCGTGATACGTGAGGAAGGTCCAGGTCGTCCCCTGATGTAAATAACAAGAGTGTGTTGTGTGCCTCACTTTTTGAAGACATATTTGTCAAATGGTCTGATATTTACCATGACCCTTGAATACTCTTCACATAACTGATCTAACTTGACTATCTCGCATTAAAGATGTAATGTGGAAGACATCCCAAAAGTTACCTCCTCTAACATGCTTTATACAGGCATAAATTGTGAACCAGTTACACTTACAGTATATTCACTCACTACATACTAGTTTAATCTTTAATCACTGTTTTTATTAAGTTTAAAATTCATATTAAAATTATCTTCCCTCTGATACACTTAAATAACACCACTATACATGTGAACAAATGTGCACCCATGAAACAAGAAGAGTTCTATACACACATGTGATTTAGTACAATCATCAGTACACTTCAAACTACTTACAATACTGTACTGTCAAAGATAATACAAATATATACAATTAATATCCAAACACAACAAGACACTGTGATGGTCAAACATACCTGGGAAAGTGTGAAGGTTGTAAAGCACGTTGTTTTCAGTTACAAAGTTATTATTTGTTGGCAACTGTCGGAGAGTTGCCAGTTCTACTTCACGGGACCTGTGGTGATGGTGATGTGCGGAGTCATTAAGGGAGGCAGCCTTTACTTTCCTCCTCCTCCTTTCAGCTCGTCTCATACCTAGAAGAAACAAACAAACTATTATCCAAGGCAACTTCTTCCTTGGAATTTCAATGCAGTCACTGATGTCACCATGTTTCATGACTGCTCATATTGTCCCTAGCAGAGAGAACACCTTCAAGGCCATTGTTCTGTCCTATACTGGTAATTTTATCCTCTTTTATTAATTTTCAGCATTACTAACTATATAAATTACATACTTTGATAACTGCTGACAACCCATTATATTGTTTTTTAAATGTTTCCTCTCATTTTCATCTTTGGGTTAAATTTAGTTTTCAAGAATTTGATCTTCATATGAACTTTCTTTAAAACTGGATAAAATGGAATCATTCATATAGTCTGGGCAAATATTTTCTGGTGTTTTAAATCATTATAATAAAGAAAGCAACAACTATTGATATAAAAATGCTTATTAACAGCAATTTCTTCAATATACTGAAGTTCTCCACCAGGACAAAACTCACAAAACTTGATAACTAAACATCATCAACAAGTACTTCCATGGCTAGGGGGGTTTAGTTTTAACCCCTCAATAGTGGACATTTTGTGTTCAATGCATTCCATTTTTCTGCACACGGGGATGGAGAAAATCCTCAGCTGCTGGTTAAAGGTTAGTGTACAAATTAAAACAAAACATTAACTTACCATAATACAGACATACAAAAAGAACGCCAAAGAAAGCCAGCGACGTGGGGATAGTTGATGCCAGAATTGTAGGAAGACCTGTCTGTGTCATCATTGTTGGTCCTACCAGTGTTTCAATTATGTTTTCTTCGCCCCAGGGACCTGTACCGAGCTCGTTGATGGCTCGGGCACGGAAGATGTAGCTGGAAGATCCTTCTAATCCTCTAATGAGCCACTGATTTTCTGTTGAACAATGGTTAATTTACTGTACTGATTACTACCTGATGAGGCCCTAAGCTTGTAATAATCATGTTAAATATACCAAATCTAAAGTCAGAGCACTAAATCACTTACAATTGTTAGGTGTATAGTCACAGAGGAACTATTGCTGTATGTTCAGTCCCCCCACCCCCATTTAATACCCCATTTTCCTCTTAATTTATTAGTCAGTGTTAAGCCACTATCTCTGGTCTCCTCTGTCACACCCTCCCTTCCCTCTGTCACTCCTCTCTATCATGCCTCTCCCTACCCTCCATCATGTCCCTCCCTACCCTCCATCATGTCCCTCCCTACCTTCCATCTTGTCTCTCCATACCCTCTATCATGCCCCTCCATCATGCCTCTCCCTCCCCTCCATCATGCCTCTCCCTCCCCTCCATCATGCCTCTCCCTCCCCCCTCACCGAGCATTACTCCCTCACTTCTAACACGCACGCACGCACGCACGCACGCACACACGCACACACGCACACACGCACACACGCACACACACACACACACACACACACTACAGAAAATCAAACCACAATAACAACACCAAAAAAATATAATATACATACACTGACAGACAGACTTTACCTGATCCATTATACACAGTAGCGAAGGTAACGTTATCCTTGAGGTCCTCCGAGATGTATGGTGCGGCCTGGAGGGTATAGGCAATAATAGGGGCACCGTTTGATTCAGCCTCGTCCCACCACACCTTGAGTCCTCTGCTGGGAGACGACCCACCAAGGTTCTGCCTCATCACTGGTCCTGGTTTACCTGGGATCTCACCTGAAACAATCACCATGTATTTACTGTCTAGGTTGATTCTGGTTCTTCCTTAATGATGATGATAATATTAATAATGATAATAATAATAAAATAGTAATATTGTAATATTTCAGGCAATATTTCAGTTAAAACCTGATAAGAGATTTAATGTTAATATCCACATACAACACTACAAGACTCACCCAGGGTGGAAAATCTAAAGAGGGGCTTATTTGGCCAGGTATATTTATGGAAGGTGTTGTTGTAGGTAACTTGTAGTCTCAGCAGGTAGTTGGTGGCTGGCTCCAGGTCAATGATGTTGACGATGTATGTCTGTCCGGCGGCAGTTTGCTCCATCGTCAAGTTCTCCCAGTGAATGTTACCGAAGGCTATATACTGAAACTACATCAAAAATCCTCTGTTAGACACACAGTAAAACCTCTGTTTAACGGACTATATGGAGAGCAAAGTCCCTTATATAGATGGTTTGTTATATGTGAAACCCCCATCTAAAAAAATTTATAAATATGGAACCCATTATATCGAGGGTACGATATATGTGGACCCCCCAACTAAAGTTATATGGAGGCTTTACTGTATTAAGCATATTACCACTGTTAATAGTGTTCATAATCTCCTGGACTGTATAATTTTACACAATGAGTCAAGAGAAGTAATTGGTTCAAAATAATTCTCAGGCAGAAGGAAACTACTGTACCTTACACTTCAGAACAGCACCACCCTCTACTGTAATTAAATGTGATACTGTATGAAGTCTTAAGTAAGGAGAGTTAGTATAGACCAGACACCTGAACTCTACTGTGTGTCTCCAGGAATTATCATTATGTTGGTGTGGTATATGATGGTTACAAGGCTATGGTGAATGTATGTATTATGTGGGTTTTAGTTGTAACTGATGGTCACCCTACAGATGCCAGAAGCCTCATGGTTACAGTAAATGATGTTGTGGGTTTTATATTTTCTTTATATTGTACAGTATTTTTTAAAGAATCTTGAATGTGTGTGGGTTTGGAATTTGGATGTTTTGGGACTACGTATACTGTTATTGAGACTGCAAGTGTAGTGTCACAATGCCTTATTTCAATCATGACTGACACTGGATAATGAAGTAAAAGTCCGAGGAAGGGGGAGGAGAACTGATAAACTATGTGCATCCCTACCATGGCACAACTTGTTACCGAGTCAAAATGTTGAGCAATGAGGCTAATAATATGCTTCAGGAACAATGTAAAAACTAAGCTTACCAAGAACAATGTTAAAACTAAGCTTACCAAGAACAATGTTAAAACTAAGCTTACCAAGAACATTGTTAAAATTATGCTTAAAGAAGAATGTTAAAATTATGCTTCAAGAATGGTGTTAAAACTAAGCTTCCCAATAAAACTGTTAAAACTAAGCTTCAAGAAACACTTTCAATTTTAATGCAATACTTACACCATGATGCAGAACTGATCTGTCTGAGGGCGCCTTCCAACTTACGGAAATCGTCCGTGCAGTAGAATTTTCTAGCTTGATGTATGGCAGCTCGGGAAGGGTGATGACAGCTACCCGAGAACTACTTATGTATAAAAGACGATCCCTATTATAGACTGTCACCCATACCTGGAACACAAAAAAGATCTATGAACACTCATCTTCTGTGTAAGTTAGCACAGCATTACATTATCTTAGAAAAAATATTAAGGGATCATATAAGTGGTTCAAGGTTGACCTGATACTGTTTTTGGAAGCTGGGTGTGAATAAGTTTATAGTGTAGCAATGGATGTAAGAGTGTCATATCTAGTGTGAACCCCTGAACCAACACATAAGACAAATGACATACTGTATATATATTACAGGGAATTTGTGTAATCAGTGATTTCACGTAATCCCTAAAATTCCCAGGGATATCCAGAAATCCATAGGAATTATGTGAAATCATTGGTGACACAAATTTCCTGTAAGATACATACAACTAGATATGATCAGTGATGACATAATTTGCCTTGATCGCAATACTGGACTGTATTTCACTGTTTGTTCCACATTTTTATTTAAAAATGTGATGGAGGGTCTTACAGAGTCATCTTCATAACAAATTTGAAACATTTTTACCCATTAGTTTCTGAGTTAAGATGATGATTTAAAAAGTACAATTTACAGTACGTGGTAGTTGGTCATTGTAACCTTGATCAATTCACATTAAATTTTTTGAGGTACCCCCAAGTGATCTACATAGTTCACTATGATAGTAGATTTGATCTGTGATATGTGTATACAGGTACACGTTTTTTAACAACCATATAATTTTGGCATATGATGTCCTAGAGAAAATACAGCAAGTCCCATCCTTCACAATGCTTCCTCTGTTATACACTGTTGGCAAGTACTGGCTCCAGGATGTATGTGAACTTGTGCCAGTGTTGATCAAGTCCCGTCTTACATGAATTCACACTCGGCACCGTCACAATACTCTGGCATATTGTTCCAAGGGTTCAGAACCCTCGCCCCGAAAAAGCAGTACAGAAGTCTTATATTGGAGAGATATACTGTATATTGCCCCAAAATTTTTATTTACGTCTTGGAGTTCAAAGTTGGTTATGACACTAATTATTATGCTCACAGACACACCATAAATGTCTTCTTCACAAACACAACCTCAGGCAGCACGTAGTTTGCCAACTCTGAAACCTCTTATATGATCCCTTAGGAAATTTTCTGTGTACATGGACATTCTAGAATCATTATCATGGAAGATTTTTTACTTCATAATTTGAACTTTATTCTTAGACTACAATAATATACAAAATATACTTAACAATTTACAATTAACCAACTTTACAACTAGTAGCACAAAAGTACTGTATTACAGACAATATTATAACACAGTAAGAGTGCATTAAATCAATGCAAATCTTCCATAACCTTTAACACTCCCTCACACCTTAATCTGTTCTCTACCTGTGATAACTAAACACAGAAATAAAAAGAAAACAACAGTACCTCATATTTAGTGTTAGGTTGGAGTTTGGTGATGGTAGTGTCTATGCGGTGGGTGGCGTTGACATAGGGACGGATGGGCTCGGCGCTGGAGTCACCCCCTTGCCAGTGAACCTCATACATGTATCCTTTAATAACTTCAAAACAAACTTGAATTTCTTCTGGTGATAAAGCCTTAGCTGTTACATTGTCCACACTCTCGGGCGCTGCCAGAGGAAAGAATACTTATAGAACAAAATCTTTGTTAAAATAAAAAAAAATGTGGAGAGGAAAGGAGAGGAGAAAAACAGAGAAGAGGCGAGAGAGAGAAAGACACAAGAGAATACAAAAGAGAGAGAGAGAGATTTATGATTACATTATTTTTATATGAAGTGTCTTGTATCCCATTGAAGAAAAAAGTTCCAAATATCAATACAGTACTGTACAGTATATCAAACAGCATCGATTCAACTCTTGTAGACAGTACATAATTCGGTAACAACATGACATGACACTATAAATTAACACACAATATATATATATATATAATTTCAACCTTTTCTAATGATAATAAAGCCGAGATAATTCAAACATACCTTTGTCTTTTGTATTATATTTGGCAACTGGACCTGCTACTGATGTGATGCCCAACCTTTTGTTGTATACCGTCTCTATGGCACTTCTAAACACATACCTTGTGTATGGTTGCAGTCCGACCACTTTTATGATGTTCTCCATACTCCGCTGGAATACAAATTCCTAGTTGAAACTACGGATGTCTTATCAAACTGAACTTCACTATAATATCATAACTACAGAAAACCACAACCGTGTCCTGGATTCGAGTTCTGACTCGGGACAGACATGGGAAAGATGTTGTCCAGTGTGACCCTTCCAAACATCACAGGTACGACGGCTTCTCATGTACTAAAAATGAACAATAAAATTCATAGGAGAGTAACAAAGAACAGATCAACTGCCTAAGAAGTGGTGAAATGATAAATAAAGAAATATTCCCATACGGTACAGAAACAAGATATAAAAATGAAACAAGTGGCAGGCAGATAATAATTGAGGGTTTGTTTAGGTAGAAAGATGTGTATGATTCAGAGATTTGTTGTAGAAGAATGAGGGAAGATGGAGGGATGAGGAGATGGATGCAGCAGTACTGAAGGGGAATGTAAAGCAACGCTGACAAGAATGCATAACGTGAAATGAAGTTTGAGGAAGGGAAAAACTGCTGATGCTCATACTAGGTTTAAGACAACAGGGGGAAACCGGATAGAAAATGGGGTAGTAAGAATGAAAGAAGAGCGAGTAAGTAAGTAATTGAGTGAGTGAATGGTTGGGTGAGAGAGAGGGCTCATGTTTCCAAACACCTACATTATAAAAAAAATACAGGAAAAATCTGTAGTTTTAAAAAGTCTCTCACAAAAGTCCTGTCGGCTCTCCTGAACCACAAAACACAAGATTCAGACTCATGAACTCAAACCAGTAGAATAGACACTGTTGCATTATTCTGTCCATAAATGCTTCAGGCTCACGAGACTGAATCTTGTGATTTGGGGTTCAGGAGGAGAGCCGACAGGACTTTTGTGGGGTGAATGTACATATGTAAATAAATAAACTGCCCTGTAGGGAAATACAACTTACCAGTATGTGCCTACAGCTGAGCACATCATCAGAGCAGGATGGGGACTTAGTGTGTGTCTCCTTGGCATAATACAGTATGTAAGTAAGAGGAGGCAATGTTACTGATCTACAATTATTTGGCTTGACTTCTGGTGCCGTCAGGCTGATGGCGATGGTAGTTTCACTACTGCCTTCCAACTTGGGTGCTTCTGTATAATTGGAAGCTACGAGACACTCAGAATCTGATGAATAAAGAAAAAATATTAGTACCTAAACTTATTGGAAAGAGTTAAAAGTTGAAGAAATTTAAATAAATCTTGAAATTTAAAAAAAAAAACATTATTAGAGTATTAATTTATCATACTGTATATACAGTACAGTACAGGTAATTAGGGATTAAAGGGAATTTATGCAATAATTCACTAACTAGATCCTGAGCACACCCCAGTCTCCATCACCATGTAACTCACCTTCATTATGGTATGTTTTTTTTTCTGTTTATACAGTATATGGTCCTGTATTTCTCTCATGTCTGGAAACCCACAGTAATAATTGTTCTCAAGACTTTAAGGTGCACACTAAGATTTTGTAAAAAAATTGATTGTGTTGTGGGTTGTTCATCTTACAGGAATCCCCGTACTGAATACTGCTTCAGTGACTTGGGTATTATTATCTCATTTCCTGGAGTAACTGTGATAATGATCTTTAATATATAAAATCAAAAGAACCTCTCACCCGAGGAGGTAACATTATGTGAAGTGAGGCCCTTAACTAGTACATAGGAGTGGAACAGAGCAGAACCCTTTCATAAATCAGGGCTGCCTGTATCAGTAAAACTCAGGACTAGCAGCTTGTAAATCACCCTGTACAGAACTGTATTTGGAAGTCTTGTTCCCTATTACTATGGGGAAACTTCTCATAGAATTTTCCCTAAAACCTTAATTACAGGACTGACTTCCCCCACAGCAGCAGGTGTGTAAGATTAGTAGTACAGCATGTGAGATGGATGTTATGCAGTGTGACCCTACTAAACATGGCAGGTTTTCTGGGATTTTCTCTAGCCAATCATGTTTTTTCCACCTATACTAACACTGAACAATAAAGGTCACAGCAAAGTAACAAAGAATAGATCAACCGCCTCAGTGGCAAATTAGGTGATAAGAGGTGAAATGATAAAGCAATAAAAATCAATACAGGAACTTCTCTCGGCATATATTTTTACCTGGCATAGGTTGTGTGGCTAGATCGATGGGTATGAGAGATGTGGCATTGTGGAGCGGCAGAGAGTGTAAGTCCTCTGACACCAACAAGCCACTTTTGGGCAGCCACAGGAGGGTCTGGTTGCTTCGTGTAAAACAGTACAGATGTGCGTAGTCAACGGCTATCTCTGTACACGGACCTGAGAGATAAAACACACCCCTGTTAACGCACCACTGACTAATCTGACCACCCGAGATGATTTACCATTAACTAATTAAATTGAAAAATCGATAAAATGATGTTACTGTAACAATACCTTAATTTACTAGACCCTTAATGGCTCATCCTATAATCCTAGTTCATCCTATAATCCTAGTTCATCCTATAATCTTAGTTCAACCTATAATCCTAGTTCATCCTATAATCTTAATTCAACCTACAGTATAGTCCTAGTTCATCCTATAATCCTAGTTCATCCTATAATCTTAGTTCAACCTATAATCCTAGTTCATCCTATAATCTTAATTCAACCTACAGTATAATCCTAGTTCATCCTATAATCCTAGTTCATCCTATAATCTTAGTTCAACCTATAATCCTAGTTCATCCTATAATCTTAGTTCAACCTATAATCCTAGTTCATCCTATAATCTTATTTCAACCTACAGTATAATCCTAGTTCATCCTATAATCCTAGTTCATCCTATAATCTTAATTCAACCTCTATAATCCTTGTTCATCCAATATAATTCTAATTCATCCTTATAATTAAACATTTTGGAGGGAAATTGAAACGTAAAAATAAATCCCAATAAAAATACCGGGTAATAAATATAAGACAAGTGACGTCAGTGTTTGAGACCGACGTACCATAGCCATGTTCTCTAGGCACGAATACAGCCTCACAGTAACACCCGTAGAGATCGGCCTTGTAGACGGTCGTGGTTTTCAGGCCCTCGGGGGATGTTTCCGACGCCTCGAAGTATAGGGAGATGTCCGACGTGTTTGTGGTGTCGAGGGCAATGCCGCCGCCCAGAACAGGAGTCTTCATGCAGTTACATTCAGAACTCCTGGGAAAAACAATAAACAAATAAAATATGGAAAAATATAATGAGTTAATTGGTTTATATCAGACAGCTATTTATTTAAAACTTCATAAATAAAACCTAAAAGTCAATGGGTTTATATCAGAGAGCAATTTACTTACTATGCATCAATAGACCATCAAAGTAAATGGGTTTATATCTGACAACTATATACAGTACAGTACTTAAAACTACATCAAATATAAACCTTATCAATTTTAATATAATACATATACAGTATAATATTATTCACATCTGTTACTCTCTCCCCAGGATGAACTACTACCCTCTGTACACTTTACTGGGGAAGGTATTAATAGCTCCCCCAACATCACACTTCTCTCACCTCTCTTCATTAAAGACATTTTGGAGAATGTTAGTAGATAGACTTTTGACCAACAGCTGTAGACCTCTGTGGCCCTCATGAAGCACAAACACTTGACTGAAATTAAATATAACAATTAACTAAGGCTAATTAACATCCTTTATGCAATTCACCGTAATTATCTGAGTGACGATGTATAGCGACATTAATAAATGTGAAACATTATTAAATGGTCGAGTTATATTAGAAAGCCTCATAATATAAATTCCCTCCTGCTATTACAACATGAACAAAGGACCCCTCAACTACCTCACTATTAATGACCCCTGACCTTTGACCTTGGGATGGTAAAATTAAATGGAAGCTTCTCTACTCTTAAAGGAGAGGAACCCATACTATACCATGCTCATAGATGCAGGGAAACTCATTTTAAAGGTTCAGAAACTGCAATGTCCAGAAACACAAGAAAGACACCAATAAGACCTTAACTTCAGTACCTTGATGTGACTGATGACTGACTGACTGATCACTTCTGACCACACAATAGAAAGTAATGTCCTATCAGGTCATGAAAGCAGATGACTTGGATTGGGACAAACTACTGTATATTATAGAAACAAACAAACAACACACACACACACACACACTTTGTCTATAATCTATATAAATAAAATGCATTCTGTGTGTGTGTGTGTTTGTTCCTTATGTATTGCCACAGTTTTGAAGACAGCTGAAATTTAGTAGGTAGGTGCATGTGGCCTAGGAGATGGTCATGCACTACTCTGTCCCCCCACTCGGCTATTAAGACCAAAACACAGAACATTACAGGTGAACAAGCAAACTAAGATATTCTACCTAAATTACTGTGAAGTCAGCCAGTAATTGTTGGTACCTCATAACAGATAAATATTTCAGAAGGACCCCAACACAAAAAAAATATATATATATTACCTGGTCATTGGAGAGAGCAAGAATTTCCTGATATGTCCGGTCAAGTTGAAATTTGCAAGCAACTTTTCACCTTTCTGCTCGATACTCGATGCCTTGATTTTACCCGATCCTCCTGGTTGTTTCTCTGCCCACACAATAACCTCGCCAATCCAATCTACAGCCAGGCCAACACCTTGACCGTCAAGCCGCAACAGCTGTAACATAAAGAGTAAAACTCTAGTAAACAACAAGTCAAGCCAATTCCAACTTAGTCTTTAAATGTTATACTAGAGGAGTGTGGTAGCAAGGGAAACATAGGTGGACGTTGGGGATTTTATTCCTGATGCATGTTTCGTCCTTACAGTCTTCCTCGGGACAGTCTGTAAGGTTGAAACGTGTGTCAAGAGTAAAATTTGTGTTTACTTAGCTGTCACAGTCTCCAATGTCTGAATAAGTCTTCTTATACTGTATTAGTCATTGGGTAAATATGTTTCTAAGCACTTTTATTACATTTAATATAAGACAAAATCTTTCATATTAAGTTTTAAAATATTTACTGTTTACATAAATACTAAACATCATTATGGAAATATATAAATTATACAAATGGAAAATATTTACAAGACCCAATGAAATAAAAACAAGTGAATTCAAGAGTTAATGGACTCATGTCACCACTTACACAAAATGAGTCAGATATTCCCAAAATATGAAGGTAAAAGAATGATTATCTAACTCACCTATAACATTGTTGGGTTGTTGTAGTTACAGTATATGAATAACTTCTACAGTAGGTGTGAAGCCAAAGGGCCACACTCAGGTGACGAGTGTTGAAGGATAATATGTGATAGGTAATACAGTTGTGTGCGGGTTGAGAGTTGATGAGTTGTAGTGTGTTGGGAAGTTTTAATATAAACACAGTGAATTATAGGCGAGTTAGGGGTTGTGTTGATATTGATTTAGGGAAGGTGGTGACCCCAAAGTAGTTTAGCAAGATGTACTGAACTTTAAATATTTTTTAAGAGTTGAGGAGAGAGACATCATCATGTGGGCAGCACCAACACAGTGTGGGAAGATGCAGAAGGAGGAAGAAATCAATTTGAACTGCAGACTCTACACACAGTAAACAGTGTTATAATACAGCCATACACCAAATTTAATCAAAATCTATCTATATTTCATCAAGTTAACACACTGACATAATATCAGGATAGACACAAACACAGGGAAGGGCGGATCATCATCATTTTAAGGCCATTTTCCACACTTCAGTGAATTACCTGATGGCAGTTCTCTGGGCTGCAGTCTCTTACAGCCTCTCTTGTCTGGTTTTATCTCTGAGATTATTTCTTCCAACATCTCCTAAAGTCATTCATGGTATATCTCTGGCTCTCCACCCCTCCACATTCAGACTCGTACATCTCTCAACCAAATTGTTCCGCTCCCTTCTCTTCACATGTCTAAACCATCTCAGCTTACCTCTACGCAAAACTCTGACAAGACACTCAATAACCAACCATCGTCTTGCCTCTGAACAGTTTCCAATCCTTCAGTGTCACATTACACACTCATCTCACCATTCTTATTTCTGCTCAAGTCTCACTGCCATACATCATATTTCTTACACCAGCCACACACATCTTTCCTCTCAAGTGAAGGAGAGTTGTATGATTATTCCCGTGTCCCCTGTTGCTCACTTCTGATGGAGTGGGGGACAGTTAACATATGTCTAAGTATGACACAAGGCAGCAATTATTAATACAGTAATACTAATAATGTCACTAATACCATACATACCCTCTCAGTCTTATTGGTCTTCATGTCTGTTAAATATATGTCTGAATTCATGTCCATCCAAACAAAGGAGAAATTCTTCAGTAGAGGTGTGGCCCACTGTACTCTGGAGTTTTCAGTCAGTACTTCTACTGCCTCATGAAGGTCAGCATCCAGCTTAACAAGGGACTTGTCATTCAACACAAGAAGTGATGGAATTGGTATATGTTGTTGAATGGATTCTGTCACCTCAGAACTGTAAGGGCCTTTACCCATCTCATTGATCGCTGCAACCTGGAAATAAAAGCAAAAATAAACCACTACATCTGCAAATATGTAACAATAAAAATAAATTACCTGTAAAACACACCCTGTATGTCTCCACTTCATTTAAAAGATGGTAAAATTTGACTGTAATTATAGTTCTAATATTACACAAGACTGAAAAATCTGGGTCATCCAGCATCACAGTACAATTGACAAGTAACATGATATGTCCTGCACTACTACATGTACTGTACATCTATAGTCCCTATTATACCTCGTACTAAGTCTTAACTGTAAAATTAAAAGAAATCATTATGTAGAGAGTGACCTAATGTACTGTAATGTCAAATGAGATAGGCAAAGCGGTAGTATAAACACTATGTCCCAGGCATAAAAATAACATTGTCATTACTGTACTGCAATACTGGTAATATATAAAAAACAATATTATTATTATCGATAAAGAACTTAGAACTTTCTTACCTTAAATTTATAATCTTCTTCTGAAACTAGATCTTCAACCATAAGTTGGTTCAGCTTACCATTCACCATCACATTTTTACATTCCTCTTCATCTTGTGTGGTGCAGTAAATTACTTCATAAGTGGTAATCTCACCATTAGGCTTCTTAGGAGGAGACCAACGCAGGTGGATCTTTGCATCTGAATCCTGTCAGTAAACATTAAATACCTACATTATCCCTGACATGATTACTGATAAATATTTAATACACTTGATCACAAGAAGTTAAAGTAATGTGTAATCTTCATGGAATACTGTACATTAAATATATCTCATACATGTTGATCATACCTGAACCTTCTGCACAAATGTCCTCAAGTCTTGAGGTGCCTCAGGTAGTGATGCCGGTGTTCTCAGGGTCTTGAGGAGTCTGGCACCGGCACTCCAGTCTGTAATGCCTCTGACTGACACCTTGAGGGGTGAGTACGGAGGTAATGTTTCTTTATAAGAAACACTATTGTTACCTGTGAGGAAAGCTTTCTTGCTGATGCCATTATCAATGATGACCTCATACATAAGGCTGCCATAGTTAACATTAGTGATCGCTCTCCACTCAAGAGAAAATTCTTCCCAAGTGCCCTTGACTGTGACAGAGTCAGCATCTACCTGACCAGGAATAACAACTGGCATCGTAACACCACCTGTAAGTAATCCAAATGTACAAAAACCTCAGTCATAAATTTCATATAAAACCAAAATCATCAAAGGATTGTATATGTCACACTTAATGTAGCAAGTATTATGATCATGATAAGAAATGTAAAATTACATGCTTTTTATTATTTTTCTGTTTATTAAAAGTTATTAACATAAACACAAACTAAATGAAAGTATAAAAGTCATAAGAATACCGTATGTGAATTTATTACATGGCACTGGCTGAAGGCTTGGTAGTACCACAATAAAGTGAGACACTCCCAGGTTGGAGGTGTGAAGTGCAGCAGAGTTGTTGAGGTTAGTGTCCGAGACGACAACATCCCCGTCCTCACCCAGCCACAGCAGCCGCTCACTCAGGTACCACATTGGCCCTAACATAATGGACACAATAATCAACATCACTCAACAGATATAGCACTGTAAGACTGAACATGAGCTTGTTTATATATGAGACTCAAGAGATTAGTGGTAATGTGTGCCTCCTGTAGTGTCCTATGTCCAATCCAGCACCTGGCTACAATGAAGGACTGGGTATCCTCCCTGTACACTTAGGAATAACATAAGTACACAAATAAGAGTGCTCCCTACTGGTGGTGTAGTCCTTTGGTGGTCGTATACCCTGCCAAGGTGGATGGACTACAGTATCTCAGTACAGGTAGTCACTACATGTCAAGAACCAACAGTAAGTATTTCCCTTATATGATGGCAAAACCAACAGAGACTTTCACACTTGAAGGTGTGACTGTGGCATAAAGTTTACAAGTTTTAATAATATTCTACTAGTTATCATATACTGAATGTAAGACAAGACATCATGCTTCCAGTGCACAACATTAATTTTAACCCTTTCAAGCTTTTTTCCTGTCTAAAGCTAATGTCTAGAAACAAAATTAATACTGACACACACATTTAGCCTTTATTCATTGCTATCTAATCATTCTTACAGCAGGAGAAGATGTGTCCTATGGAATGACAAATCTATGAAAAAAAAAAAATTTGCAACTACTGTATATGAAACAGCAAAACCTGGAAATACTCACCAACTTCAACAGTGTGAGGGAGAAGTTTGGAGGGAAACTTGCTCAGCTCCTCTCCCAACAGCGCACCAAATAAACGGCAGCCGTCAGCATCGCGCACAATCCACCAGATGCGAGAACCTTCTGAGTCTACTGTCAGGCCATACACTGTACAGGAAAGTCAAGATAAACAAAGATTTAATTATATGCATTGATGAGTTATGTAGGTCCATTAATGTGTGTGTGTAACAAGTCCAGTCTTTTCCTATTTCTAATAAAATTAGTTTGATAACTGCTTATGATTGTGATATTATTACATGAAACTATAGTACAGAATTACAATAATCTAGAACTCTAACAACTGTACTCCCACACTTAACTACACAATACTGCCTAAATCTCAGTACTTGGTGTAAAACAATACCTTGCTTTCCACTAAAGATCCCTTCTTGATGGATGGTTGTAACGTTGCGGCCAGCCAGGGTCGACATGAGCAGAGCGTGAGGTGTCGTCCAGAAGAGTCTGCCTCGAAGAGCATCCACCCGCACCTCCCTGGCAGCCGTCACTACGTTTAAAGGACCCTGAGATGATCCATTCAGACTTGTCCAACCAATCTATTGAGAGACAATCAGAAAATTTATTTCTATATGGTTTTTAACTTCTGAAAGTATGCTCACACCTGTAATTAAATAAAGTGCAAGAGTAAAAGAATCAATTTAATTTTACATCATAACAAAAGAAGCTGTAATGACATCAGACCTCCAACACGAAACAATTTGGCTGGAATCGAGATCAATCAAAAATTCTCCCTTAAGAGAAAGCGTGGGTTGAATTTTTCAACTTGTTTCACCATAAATCCTTTCATCAATCTTCCTATTATTGCTCTCCTTTCCACCGAGGGTTCTGTACCCTTGGCTCACCTAACTCAAGAGCGGAAGATAAACACAGAAGAGACACAGAGAGAGGATAAGAAACTCTTCAGAGGTTAATGGTGAAGAAAAATGGTTTTATATATAACAATATATTAAAAAACTATACTGTCCATAGATTATACAATGAAGGTCTTTTTTATTTGTGTCTGCAGCTACGATCTAATTTTTGACTTGGACATTTGGCGAGTACATGAAAGGAAAATATAAAACTACTACTATAATGTTTGAAGTAATCAGTGATGATATACAAGATGATTTTATCTTTTTCATCAGAGAGCACCAAGTCTGCCTACCTATGACTTTTATCCTTAGTTAAACGACAATATATTTCTATGACTTTTATCCTTAGTTAAACGACAATATATTTCATAGGTCATAAAACTTCAGATATGCAATGCAATTTATCATTTTTACCATCTGATCAATGTTGTACATCTTAATCAAAAGTACGTGGGAACTACCGCACTACAATGTCACAACCACCATGACTTACCATCTGTCTGTGAGGATTGGCCCAAAACAGCCTCTCAGTGAGCCAGTCCACCGACACGGAGAGAACCCCGTGTGTGTTTGGCAGCTTAGTAAACGTTGATGTTGTTCTGTTCATGACAAATACACTCTGGTTACTCACTGCCATTACAAGAGCATCACGAAAAAATGCAAGATCTGCAATTTTTCCATCTTTTAATTTCGTCTGGAAAGAAACACTTACATTAATACAAGATAAATACAATATAATTAAAATCATATCAAATTACTTTACTGTTATCATTTCTGGAATATTTTACCCCACACACCTCTCAATAAAATGTATCCAAGTGTGTCCTTACCACCAGAGTTTCCTGTGAAATTAGAACTGAGCTTTCATTCCCAGCGAGATTGGTGAGAAGGATCTTCTTATCAGTGGCCCAAATGAGCTGTGGAGCCAAAGACGTGTCATCGAGGGTGCGACCGCGGAACTCGTGACTCCATGGGCCATTACCACCCCTGGAGTATGCTCTCACCTGTGACGAAATAAAGTACAGGTGTGTCAAGAGTCCATTCAATTTTATAACATAACAAAAGCAACATAAAGCTGAACACCCAATGCTCCAAGCTTCAAGAAGCACAACTAACACCGGACAATGAAGGTTGTAACAAAGAACAGATCAACCATCAGAATGGTTAGTAAGCTAATAAGTGGCAAAATGATTAATAAAAAAATTTAAAATAGCACCTGAGTCGTATATTATAAGCTGGAGGAGATCCACACCAATATTCTCCACAACACACGCATGGCATACATCCATTGTCTCTTCTAGCCGGGGAATTTTTCTTATTTAATACACAGACCCACCACACAGCCCTACTGAAGTGAGGGGTCAAGTCAACATCCCAGGTTTAATAAAGAATTGAGTGTATCTTAGAAAGTTTAATTATGACTTTAATAAAATGATAAAACTCATCCTTCCATTCTTCTGTTTTGTTTACTAAATATTCTGTCTACCATCATCAGGAGGAAGATGAAAACTCAATATAACTTCCTTTATGGTGTTTCCCAGGCAAGAAGAAACAGCATGTACCCTCACACCTACAGGAAATATGGTCAGGGTAATAAATGGTAAAACGTTCTTAATCTTTCACTTCATGGGTATCTCTAATTTTAATTTAAGCGAAGACATCAATACCAACGTATACACAGTACTAGAGAAGAGCATCATGTCTCTGGAAGGTGGTGAAGCTCAGTCAACATCTCTTTTTCCCTGTGATGATACAAGATGTGTGAGCAGTGGTCTATGAGGTACTGTACTGGTAAAAGGCTAGACTTACTTATAAGTAATAGTGTATATGTTATGATAAAAATTACCTTGACCATGTAGAATGTGCCAGGCCTGAGGTTAGTAGCCTGGTAGGAAGTGTCTGTGATGTTCTGACGGTACATGATGTGCTGGCCCTCCTGGATGTGCATCTCGTACATCCACTTCTGCCAAGCACCAGAGCCTGAGGAAGTGTGACAATAAGTAATGATTGGAAAAACAAATTTAAAGTTCAATTGCAAGTTAGTTTTATCTTTTAAGGTATTAGTAATAATCCAGACAACCACATGTATTCTTCAAGCTAATGTTACAATTGGAAATCCTTGGAGAATAACTCGTTTAGGAGTAGCAGTTTGTAGAGCAGGTAAGCCACAGGTAAACTCAGTTCAGTTATTCAGTCTGACCAATGTTACAATACACACCCTTACCATTCATCTAAATGTTTACATCAAGTGGCAACTGTATGATAGACGACTTCACAATACGAATACTGTTGTCGTTACCCAACATTCTGACAAAAATTAAAAATGTTCCAGAGATTTTTTAAGTTGGAAAAAAGAAAAAAAATCATCTGGCAGAATCTATAGTTCAACAAAGACATCTAATAACCCTTCAACTGTAGAACTGGATTCATGAAGTAAGTGACATCATGATGGAGGAGACAGACAGTTTGACAGACAGGATAAATACTATACCCCAGCCACTAATGTGAGTAAGAATGCCCATAACAATTTTAGGCACAAAATTCAGAAAACAAAAATCATAAGAGTATCAGAAAACACATTACCCATGAGTGCGGGGAGAGCCGGAGCGTTCCACCTGAGAGAGGCAGACCTACGGGTGAACACTGCCTGCAGGTCTCTGGGTGGGTTGAGTGGGACGGGAACTGGCTGTGTTGAGGCATGAACGGCCACCAGCATCCCAACACTCACGACAAGATAACTGAAAAAAGAAAAAGAAAAAAAAAGATAATGATGAATCAATGATAGAGATTGAAAGTTTAAGAAAAGAAAGTATATAATAATGTTTTCAGGTTTTCATGTCTTTAGTCATCATCCCCATGTGTAAGAAAGGTGACACAACACTGTAACTATTTATGGGAAGAATGTAGTAAGTCATATTCTCTGTTTGCTCACCTCATCAGTCTCCAGCGAGGACTTTCAATATAAAAATAGTTCCACTTAACGTCTCAACAGTACATTAACCTCACTATGAAAATTAATAATCTATGTTACTTGAAGATATGAAATGGTCAGCCAAACTTATTTTCCGTTTATTTCCGTAACCCAGCACACGATTAGATAGGATATTTAGTCTAGTTTGGGTACATGTAAATAATGTATCCTGAGCATGAGAATGGGGGGAGAGGGGGTTACAGTGTTGGACAAAATCCTCACTATACATATACGCCAATTCATGATGCTGAGGTTAATGTATTGTTCTAATCATGTGCAGTAACCAGCTATAGGCCGCAGCATGGTCACAGGGTCATGATAACATACTTAATGGGATGATACAGTGAACTTAAAAGAGGTTTGGTAGTATACTCAAGGGGTTACTATAGCCTCAATGACCACCAAGTTATGCAAGAAGCTATTACTAAGAATCATGATGGAAGCAGAGAAGTTTATGAACACTGTCCGCTGATACCACACCTGTTATGATAAAATGTTCCTCCGTTCAGCTCCTCTGTGAACACCTCATTACCGTCAGTCCAGAAGAAGCGGTTGTTGAGGTGCACCACCGAGCGAAGTTGTTTAAAGTACGCCTGCTGGGTATTGGCTCTCAAGTTGGTCACCGAGGTCCTGAAAATTGCAATAATGATGAGCTTTGCTGGTAAGATATCATATAATAGCCAAATAACATAAACAAAAACTCTTACTCAAATGTCACCCTTGGCTGGAGAATTGATAAAAATACTGACTAATAACTAAAAATACCATTAACAGGTATAAGAATCTTACTCGCATATCACTCTTGACTGGATATTAACAAGGTGTACTAACAGATTCTACCAATGTGCTTGAATGTGCTAAAGTAATGAAACAAAATACATAATATACAACACAGTGTTAAGCCTCGTACTGTACTTACCCGTCCAAGGAGACCGCCAACATCGTATTTTTCTTACGGTCTGCAACAAGAACTTGAAAATTGGGCGGATCCAAGACGAGGCCTCCTAGATCAGACGCCTGAAGGACAACCTTGGGTTCCGACTGCTGCTCAGACTCTACGTTCAAGTCAAGACGGTGTAAGCCTTTATTTACGTCCTCTGATATCCACCACACGTACCTGACAAAGCGACAATTTCTATGTAACTCGGCATCGCAAGTGGCTAACAGGCCGATCAGTGGCGAAGACGATAAAGTAAATCCAGCGTAAATTACCTACATATCCTCTTCGCTACTGGTCACCTCTCTAGCCTGACGGGCGGTCAGTCATTTGTCCTTTACGCACTGTTGGTAAGTAAGGGATATGCACGGTCATTTGAATGTACCAGTACCTGAACAGGTGCCAGTGGTGGCCAAGTCTGGTCATATATGAGCTCACACAACATTCTCTGGCAGGTTATTCCAAGAGTTCACAACATTTTAGGGAACATTCTATATTTTCAAGCTCCGGTTATGTTTATGTGCTGTCCTCATGGAAATTATGCTCCAATGATAAAAGGATTATTCCCTTCATTCACTTACTCTCTCAGATACTGTACTCACTTTATTTACTCTCTCTCCCTCCCTTCACTCACTCTAACTCACCCATACATACCAAAAATCTAAATTCATCAACTATAGTATTACCACAACAATCCCTCATTTTCCACCCACCCATTGTAGGGGTCGACCTGGAGGTGCTTGGCTTCATAGTGTAGTTGCCCGTGTATGAGGACAGGGTTCTTCCCCATCAGGTTACAGCGCCACAGTTGCCACATCTGATCCGTGGGCGACTCGAGATGGACGATGTAGTAGAGGTAACCGTACAGCCAGTCGACGGAGAGGCTTAATGGGAAACCGTGAGTGTGGTTCTGCATCAAGAGGATTCGCCTCTTTTGGGTCGACGGGTGCAGTTGGAAAATCAAACCATTTGTGTCGCTTAAGTATATTAGGCCAAAGAGATAATGTACAGCCATACCTAGAACAGATAAACAGTGAAAACTTAGATTAATAGATGCATTATTTTAAAGCAGACATTCCTAGGGCAAAACACTATGAAAACTTCAATTAAATGGGAAACCATTTTAGAACATTAACACTTAAACTACCAAAACACCAAAATTACTGATTAAATTTGACAAACGCGTAACCTCTTCACTACAGGGACGTCACTTTTTATGCTTTATTTGGCTAACGGTAGACAACTCTATTTAGCTCAGAGGGAAGCCCGTACACAAGGGGTTAAAACTTCTTGATATACAAAAAAGTCCACAAACCTGTGATGTTATGTTGTTCTGAGATGTTGTAGAAGTGTTGTGGTGTATCCATGATGTCCAGCCCTAGTTTTAACAGATTGGAGCCGGATGTTAGGAGCAAATAACCCTGACCGTCATCAACAGCTGAAAATCAAACCCAATAAATAAGTTAGCTGATCGTTTTCTTGTATTTGGCAACACTATATGCTACTAACACAAGTACAGTGCACTATAGAACCAGGATAAAAAAAAATTATTTACATTCAACTCCTGACATGGCTAAACAGGAATATATAACTGAAACAACAAATCCTCCATACACCAGTGTTGAACACCCACATTTTCACATTTATATGGGTTATAATTCCTTCAGTGTATATTTAATACTGTACACATATCCTAAATTTGAAGAGGTAAAAGCTTCCATACTAATAACCATAAAGAATAAAATTTCTCTTTCTCTTTTTAGTCATTGTGGAAGAGGACATACCAAATAGCCCAAGATCACACAGACGGACAGATGTAACTCTTGCATCTTCCCCGCTCTCAGAATCAAGGGATAAGACCTTGGTGGTGTAAAGTATTAATGGGAGCATGTGTAGATTAGGACCCTCAGCTTATTTCACCTGATGATTAAACACCTTGACACCAACCTAAAACTAAACCCCGCATGTAGGATTAGAGGGTGTTCAATCATCAGGTGAAATAAGCAAGGGGAGACTAATCTTCAGATGATCTATGTTAGAGTACAAGAAGTGTTCAAGCCTTCACCTGGAGAGTTAGGATATGTAGTAACTTTGACAACAATAGCTGGGCCCTCTCCTCTGTGGTTGGTTGATGTTAGGTTGAGGAGGTATGTGGTGTTGGCTGATAACTCTGACAGAATGTACCTGTAGGGAACAAAAGACAGAAAATATTAACCTGAAGAATCCTTTGGTTCATATGGACATGTTTGTTTGGCATTAATGACTGATTTCACAGATTCAGTCTTTAGTTTGTTTTGTATCTGTTCACATCTACTAGCACCATCAAAACAGTTTTTATATCTGACTGATGGGTTGTGTTTTCAATCTCCATAAAAGTTACCTTCACCATTTTATTAGAAGATCATAAAGAGCTGTAGTTAAATGTCAGTATTGAGAAGAAAACTTTAACCTACATTTTTATACAGATGATTCAGGAGCTTTTTGATTTTTTTTATAAAAATACTTAAAAAACAAAAAACAGATACTAAACCCTTAATCAGCAGCTAAGGATTCCTCTCCCATATGCACAATAATGGAACACTAAAAACATGTAACTTGCACCAAAAATGGCCGCCGTTTAAGCATTAACAAACTCGCATTAAAATAAAGCTCTCTTACCTCCTTTCACTGCTAGCATCTATATTGTCTCTCATCTTCTGTCCTCCCTGAGTGTCTTTGAAGTACAGAGTGTAGGAGATCAGGTCACCACCAGGGAATAGTGGAGGTTCCCAGGTGACTTCCACACGTGACCAGTCCAGGGGCACGGCTTTTAACTCCTTTGGGATAAATTAATCATATACTGGGGTTAATGACTTCTACCTTATCTTAAATTCCTAGGTAAAGGCGACATAAATGAAACATAGATGATTTTAGATAATTTTGAAGACCTAAACAGCCTAAAGGCATTCATACCAACATAAACTTGTACCAGAGGACATGCACTAAGTCTCATCTATCTGTGGATCACTGTAACAATATTCCATCCAATGTTACTAATACAGAAACTAGAGGAAGCCTCGAGGAGCAGTAAGATGCACACATAAAGGGTAGAACAGGTGGCAAGAAATAATATATACATAGACAATTAAGCTGATAAGTGGTGAAATCATATATATAGATAAAGACTCACCATCGGAGCAGATCTCGGTGGGCCAGACGCCAGAGTACTGATCCAGGAGCTGGTCTCGGACATGATAGGGGCGTGGTGGGGCAGAACCAACCAGGCAATACGGAACTGTTAAGAGTAGAAGTAATAAAGAGTCTCCATACATCACCTCATACACCCCTCACAACCATTAACTCACAGTATTATGTCTATTACACAAGGCATTATTTTTTCTTATACATTGTAATCTGAAGGTATACTGTAATACTGTATGTGAAAAATATCATTGTAATCTGAAACTACACTGTAACATACAAGAAATTCACTCTACTGTAATCTGAAACTACTGTAACGTAAAAAAAAATCCTGGAATGAACTGATATTAGAACAGTTCACAACAGACAGACTTACACAACATTTTAGCCCTGTTATAAAGTGCCTTAAACACTGTACAGTACTTTGAGACCATGTGAGTGAGTTAGTACACAAGTGCAAGTGTGTGTGTGTGTGTGTGTGTGTGTGTGTGTGTGTGTGTGTGTGTGTGTGTTAGGTCATTATACTGCACTGTGCCTATTTAGAGAATTACTGTATTAAACTGTAATTGTGTTTTCTGGTTGCTTTTTCTTCTCTTTTTCTTCCTTCTCCATTTTTTCTTTTCTTATTCTTATTATTATCCCTCGTCTTCCTCCTCCTCCTTTTCTTCTTCTTCAATTCCTTCTTCCTCTTCATCTCCTCCTTCTCCCCCCCCCTCTTTTCCTCTTCTTCCTCATCTACTGTGCTTCTTTTTCTACCTCTTTCTTTTGTTCACCTTCCTCATCTCTTTCCTTCTCTTCTTCACCATCATCTCCTCCTTTTCCCTCTTCTCCTTATTTATTTTTTGTCAATAGTTTACTTTTAACTCGGATCATCTCGTACAACATAACAATAGTCACAAATACCCAGTACTCCCTCTCTCTCTCTCTCCCACTCTCTCCCTCCCTCCCTCTCACTACCTCCCCCTCTCCCACTCACCTCGTACTTAGTGTAAGGCTTAAGGTCCTCGACGATAATCTCGGTGGTGTTGAGTGGGTTACTAGGCCTGTAGTAGACCCACTCGCCTGGTACAATGTTCTGGTGATACTGGACCAGGTACCTTATATCCTCCACTTCCGGGGCCGTACTCCACCGCAGCCCCACGCTCGACCCGCTCACACTCCCGCCGACGAGCAGAGGGGCTGGGGGCTTCTTAATCACCTCTGTGGAATAGGATTATCATTTTAGATGCTAGAATAGAAATAAGAGTGAAATTCTCCAGCCATTAATAAATGTGACATATTCTCCAGCCATTAATAAATAAAAGTGACATTCTCCAGCCATTAATAAATAAAAGTGACATATTCTCCAGCCATTAATAAAAATGATATTCTCCAGCCATTAATAAAAGTGACATATTCTCCAGCCATTAATAAATGTGACATATTCTCAGCCATTAATAAAGAAGTGACATATTCTCAGCCCATTGTAAATAAAGTGACATATTCTCCAGCCATTAATAAATAAAAAGTGACATATTCTCCAGCCATTAATAAATAAAAAGTGACATATTCTCAGCCATTAATAAAAATGACATTCTCAGCCATTAATAAAGTGACATATTCTCAGCCATTAATAAATAAAAGTGACATATTCTCAGCCATTAATAAATAAAAGTGACATATTCTCCAGCCATTAATAAATAAAAAGTGACATATTCTCAGCCATTAATAAATAAAGCGACATATTCTCAGCCATTAATAAAATGACATTCTCCAGCCATTAATAAAAGTGACATATTCTCCAGCCATTAATAAATAAAAAGTGACATTCTCAGCCATTAATAAATAAAAGTGACATTCTCCAGCCATTAATAATAAATAAAAGTGACGTCTCTAGCCATTAATAAAGTGACATTCCCCAGCCATTAATTAGTGACATTCTCAGTCATTAATAAATAAAAGTGACATATTCTCAGCCATTAATAAATATGACATATTCTCAGCCATTAATAAAAGTGACATATTCTCAGCCATTAATAAATAAAGTGACATATTCTCAGCCATTAATAAATAAAAGTGACATATTCTCCAGCCATTAATAAATAAAAGTGACATATTCTCAGCCATTAATAAAATGATATTCTCCAGCCATTAATAAAAGTGACATATTCTCCAGCCATTAATAAATAAAAGTGACATTCTCCAGCCATTAATAAATAAAAGTGACATTCTCCAGCCATTAATAAATAAAAGTGACATATTCTCCAGCCATTAATAAAAATGATATTCTCCAGCCATTAATAAAAGTGACATATTCTCCAGCCATTAATAAATAAAAGTGACATTCTCCAGCCATTAATAAATAAAAGTGACATATTCTCCAGCCATTAATAAAAATGACATTCTCCAGCCATTAATAAATAAAAGTGACATATTCTCCAGCCATTAATAAAGGTGACATATTCTCCAGCCATTAATGAATTTACTGTATTAACAAGTCTCTCCATCACAAGCTGCAGGAGAGTGAGTGTCAACAGCTCACCACTATCCCCTCAACTCGACGTTTACACTAACACGAAAAACACACACTAATACCAACCATAGATAAAACCTTTAGAAAAAACATATTAAAAAAGCTACCAGGATTTTCATATACTGTAAATATATTAAATGATATTATAGGCAGTTAAACTATAAACTGGTGTCTTATCTATGTATAGTCTATAGGTAAAACGATTAAAACCAGTCTGAATAATAGGTAAACTTGAATCTATAGTCGACTCTATCTACATGTGAGGGTTGGAGGAGGTTAGTCTAGGTAGGAGGAGCAGTAGAGGACTTTACTAACCTTCAACTTGACGGAGGTAGGACTGAGCAGCATACACACAGCCCATTGTACAGAACATGGTGTCCTCGTTCTGCCAACCGTGCAGCGTCTGTCAACACAAACCAGTCATTAGATAACTTTAATTAGCCTTTGTGTTTATGGATCACCTGATGATTATTATTAGCTCCCCTCCACGGCCCTCACTCACTCTAATATGTCCCTCCACCTAGTCTAACTTAACTTAACCTAATCTAATCCAACCTAACCTTACCAAATAGCAACCCAACCTAACCTTATCCAACCCAACCTAACCCAACAAAGGTAAGCTAATCCAACCTAACCCAACATAACCCAACCCAATCTAACCCAACCTACCCTTGTAAAACAATACAACCTAAAAACGTAACGTAACATGCCTAACCTAACCTAACAACCTCTCCTAACCTACCAATACAACCCAATCTACCCCAACCTACAACCAAAAACATAACATACCCCAACATAACTAACCCAACATAAACAAGCCCAGCCTTGGCCCAGCCAGCAGCCCAGCCCAGCCCGCCCAGCCTGGCCTAGCCCTAGCACAGCCTAGCCTGGCCTAGCCTAACCTAACCTATCCTAACCCAGCAACCCAACCCAACCCAACCCAGCAACCCAACCCAGCAACCCAGCAACCCAACCCACAACCCAACCTCACCTTCCCAGTAACAGTAAACAGTAACTTACACAAGTCTGTTGGCATGATGACTGTGACGCTTCTCTCCAGTCCAAGCAACCCGTGTGACA